TTTAAATTTGCATAAAATCATATATCCAAAAAAAGAATATACAGTCATCAACTCTGAAAGTCAATTACATTGAAATGAAGCAATACACAAATACTATCCTCCTAAAGTTCATTATAAAATGGAGTAAGTTAAAGTAACTGTATATGGTAGATTAAAATGAAAACATTAAAAAATCCATTAATTCAGATGGAGAGAGTAATGATTTTTATATGAAGCAATTTTATGAAAAAAAATACTTTAATGGCCTATAATTCACCAGTTTTGTTGGAAATGTCAAAGGATCACAGGGAATTTCCTTGACAAGCATGACATTGGGAATGGGAGGATTAATGATACCATGAAGCTTATTAGTATATGATTAACTGTTAGTTCATTAAATAAGAGACACTGTCAAAGTTTTGTGAAATAATTTAATAGAAATAATCATAATTGGGCTGATCTTGAAAACACTAAGCAGGTCTGGATAATGATGCGTTCCAGTGGGTGAGCATCAGCAAGAAATCCCACGCTGTGTAATGGTATATGGGAAGACTTGGAAAATGGGAGAGCATCAGACTGCACAACCACAGGTAGTCCTCGACTTACAACAGTTCACTTAGTGACCGTTCTAAGTTACAACCCACTGAAAAAAGAGACTTGTGATATTTGTTTACATTTATGACCGTTGCAGCATCCCCATGGTCATGTGTTTTACACTGGGGTGCTTGATAACTGACTCATATCTATGACGGTAGCAGTGTCCCAGAGTCATGTGATCTCCTTTTGCGACCTTTTGACCAGCAAAGTCAATGGGCAAACCGGATTCACTTAACAACCGTGTTCCTAATTTAAGAACTACAGTGATTCACTTAACAAAGGTGGCGAGAAAAGTCGTAAAATGGGCAAAATGTTTGATGGGCCTGAGTGGTGTAGGAGGCTAATGCAGCATTTAACATCCAGCTGCCTGCAATTACTGCGAGTTCAATTCTCACCAGGCTCAAGGTCGACTCAGCCTTCCATCCTTTCTAAGGTGGGTAAAATGAGGACCCGGTTTGTGGGGGCAATAAGCTGACTTTGTATAAAATATACAAAAGTATGAAGGCTATTGCTTAACCCATTATAAGTCGCCCTGAGTCTCCAGAGAAGGGCAGCATATAAAAATAAATAAAAAAAATAAAAAAAAAATAAAAAAACCTCACTTAACAATTTCTCACTTAGCAACAAAAATTTTGGGCTCAATTGGGGTTGTAAATTGAGGAGTACCTGTAGTGTACAGGAGGGAGGAGGAGGGGAGGCATGGGAAAATGTTTTAGAAGGGACCCTTGCTAGATTTCTGGAGAGTAAAAAGAAAGGAGGGGAGAAATTCTTTCGAACTTGCAAGATTCTATTAATGCAGAGATGTCAAACTCAAGGCCTGCAGATTCGATTCAGCCCGCAATGTGGTTGGATCCGCCCCACAGCAGTGGTGGGTTGCTCCCGGTTCTGTCCAGTTCTTGCGAACCAGGAGGCTCCGCACCCGCCTGGATGTCATAATGGATGATCTGCGCATGTGCAGAAGCACACGTGCACACTCCCATTGCGAGCCAGTAGTAAAGGTAAGTAGAACCCACCCTGGCCAGTGTAGCTTCAGTACGGTCTACCCAATGGAAAGAGGAAACATGCCAGCAGTTTGGGGAGTGGCAGCAAGCTGGCCAAGCCCACCCAGTTGGCCACACCTCTCCCCGAGGTCAACCACAGCCCTGATGCGGCCCTCAATGAAATTGAGTTTGACACCTCTGTATCAGGGGTGAAATGCTCCCAGTTTGGACCGGATCGCCCAATCCGGTAGCAATGGCAGTGGGTGGTTTGGGGAACAGTAGCAAAAATCCCTGTGCCCACCCCCACCCCCATGTCCAGCTGAGCTGCGCGATCATCAGAGGCTGTTTTTTTTTTAACTTTTAAAAGCATTTTATCTACAACCTCTTCGGCCGAAAAAATGCTTTTAAAAGTAAAAAAAAAAAACCTCTGATGATCGCGTGGCTCAGCTGGGATCATTAGAGGCTTTTAAAAGCATTTTTTCTGCAACCTCTTTGGCCGAAGAGGTTGTAGGAAAAAAAATGCCTTTTAAAAGCCTCTGGCGAGTTGCCTGATCGTCAGAGGCTTCTAAAAGCATTTTTTTCTGCAACCTCTTAAGGTTGTAGAAAAAATGCTTTTAAAAGTAAAAAAAAAAGTTGGCCATGCCCACCATCACATTACCCCCCACCACCACCAAGCCACGCCCACAAAACCGGTAGTAACAAATTTTAGATTTCACCCCTGCTCTGTATTAATGTAACCTTGCAATAAATATACAGTAGAGCTTGTAATCCTTCACTTCTTGTCTAGATTGCATTGCAAGATGAACAGATGGTAAATTAGGCTTTGGAGAAAAAGACAGAAGGACAATTACTTTCATATTCATTTGTGTGTGTGTGTATAGAGAGTATATATACTGCTGTACCTTGCCCAAAGTTGTATTGCGATCTAGTGTGGCATATAAAAATGCAACCAATCAAGAACATGGATGTGTACAATGCAGTCACCAGCAGCTTCATGGAAGGAACATTTGTGACAGAAAAACTAGTACTGTACCCTTTTGGGAAACTTTACATTAGGAAAGGAGACAGGCTGCAGGTGGACAGTTTGATGAGTTTCTCCTGATTATCTCAACTGTTTTCCAGCTGCACGGATTTTTTAATGTTCCTATGATAATCATGGTTCCTGGCAGTGCCATTTCCTTATTATCCTTTGTCAAAGAAATCTCTAGATTTTAGGAGTTCCTGGCAATGCTACTTCCTTATCATCTGTCTAAGAAATCTCTAGATCTTAAGGAGTTTCCTCCCCTAGAGTGAGAACTGTAAACAGTGTCAGACATTGGTTTCATGATAAAGACAACTATCTTAGAACAGCATCAGGAAGAATGTCTGAAAATCTTATTTTATTGTTTATTTAGGAAACGTTAATCTCTGAATGTATGAAAGGATGTCATTATTCTGAAAACCTACACCAGGGGTCTGCAACCCTAAATGCTCAAAGAGCCATTTGGACCCGTTTCCCACAGAAAAGAAAACACCGGGAGCCACAAAACCCTTCCTGTGCCAGACTATTTCTTGAGCGGCCACAAAACTAACATTCTTCTTGTGCCATACCCGTCATCGGACGTTGGCGATCATGTTGGCAATCCTATTTTTATCAACAGCCACCTGAAAAAGTGCTGCTGAATTTTGTCCAAAACAGTTCCTTAGGTTTTGAAGCCATGATGTTCTTCTTCTTCCTGGAATTCATTTGCCTTCGATCTTTCCCTGGAGTGAAGGATGCCGTATTTTTCTGGGTGTTGCATGACATGTCCAAAATATTCTAACTTTCGCTTTTTAATGGTTTTGATGATTTTCCTTGGCTTTCCCAGGCGGCTTATCACCTCCTCATTTGTGATTTTGTTAACCCAGTTTATACGTTAACAGCCATCTGTAAATCCACATTTCAAATGCTTCTAGTTTCTTCAAGTGGTTTTCTATCAAGAGGCCAACTCTCTACTCCATAGAGCAGGATAGAAAAGATGTAACATCTGACAAGCCTGATTTTCAGTCTTAGGCTTATGTTGTGATTGCCGAAGACCTTTTTCATTTTGAAGAATGCTGTTCGAGCTTTCTCTATCCTTGTCTTTACTTTACTGATCATGTCCCAAAACTAGCATATGTAGTTGAATTAAACATTGTTTTCTTCTGAAACTTTTCTTTTCTTGGATTTATCCATGATTGGCCTATCAGGGGTTGAAATAAATCGCACGCTGGCGGGTTTTGCACATTAGTGGTTGTGACATATTTTGAGTGACAGGGAGCTGCAGCAGAGGGGTGAAACAGCCACATGCGGCTTCAGAGTCACAGGTTGCCGACCCCTGACCTACAGACTATTGGTTTCCCACAGTTGTTATATTCACTGAATTCATTTCCATCTTTTTTTCCATAGGAGGGTCAGGCAATCTTACCATTTCAGAAGAAAGTCCAGGGAGAGTAGGTTTTCTCAGCTATAAAAAAAGGTTCTTGAGAAACTAATTCCTAAATTATTATATGATTCTGATCTATTTTACAGTTTGATTGCTCTTGTATTTCAGAAAAACGCTGGTCTTTTACTGTATAATTTGGCCTGCCTATTGTTTACCGATATATAAAAACGATCAAGAAGGAACAAGGCTATAAGATCTAACAAAAATTACAAAAAGGATTTGTAGGAGGTTGTCTGGTTGCATCAAGACAGGTATGATACAACATAAACTCACATTTCTAATCCAGATTTGGTCATGTAATTTAATCCAAAATGGGCAGACTAAATTCAGAATTGCACTGGACCATGAATGCATATCTCCCTGCCCCACCTTAGTGAGTGGAATTGCTAATCAGAACCATTTCAGAATCCTGGTAATGTCATTCTCGCTTCCAAATAACAAAGACATACATGGGTGGAAACTAATCAAGGAGAGAAGCAATTTAGAACTAAGGAGAAATTTCCTGACAGTTAGAACAATTACTAAGTGGAACAACTTGCCTGCAGAAGTTGTGAATGCTCCAGCACTGGGAGTTTTTAAGAAGAGATTGGATAACCATTTGTCTGAAGTGGTGTAGGGTTTCCTGCCTAAGCAGGGGGTTGGACTAGAAGACCTCCAAGGTCCCTTCCAACTCTGTTATTCTATTCTATTCTATTTTTAAGAACAATTGCCAGTGGTTTCCAAAATACTGCAAATACCAAATGTGTGTATTACCTGTGTGTAGTCACACACACTTATTTTTCTAGTTGTTTTTCACCCACACTATATACAATAATTCATATAGATAAACTGAATAATTATCTAAATCTATAGCCACTATCAAATTGCAGAAGAAGGGCAGATTGGATTTAGGAATAATAATCTCACAACTGCTTTTTACAGGATATTTATACAATGCCATTTGTCTATCCATTGCAAAGTGATGGGCCATGCATAAATGAAATATCTAATACACACGTTCTAGAGAAGCCATATTTTATAAAATGTGCAGTGCTCACTGTTCCTTAATTTGAAGATGGGCAGTAACCATTATATTGACTAATAAATTGTATAAATCAATTCATTTTTGTGATTCTCTACAAAGTGAGAAAATAACTTGGGCACTATCACCTATCCTGTTTATGGCACTTTAAATTTTAAAACGATACTCATTAACATAAAATCTTTAAAACAAATTTCCCCTAATTTTATTTTAAAAAACAAACAGCAGCATTATTCTTTTTCTTTCTTTTTTTGCCTATAATGTAATAATCATCTCATTACTCTATTCTATTGGTAAAATAAAACATCGTTTTTATTTGGTTCATATTGGGATACTCTGATGCTTTCGTTTGACCTCGTTTTCAAAGTTTAGAAAAGTTGTGATGCCAGATGCACAATTAAGACAATGTGTGTAAAAGGGGACAAGGTTTTGATCACATGCTTTGATAGTCACTTTACATTTTTAAAATCCTTTCTTGCCCTGTGCAGATTCCCTTAGGATATGGAAAGAGTAGTTCAGCCCCACTGTTGCCTGAAAAGGAAAAAAATCATTCTTTCAAATGTGTGGTTATAATTAGTTTGTGTTAATTCTTCATGAAAGCTTAACCACGTCAAACATTTGACAGTCATCCCTCTTATCTGGTGACATTTATTGTACAAACAACGGAAAGGATAAAGGGAATGCAAGGAACTGAAAATACAGTTACAACACATTAGAAACGTTATGGCTTCGTTAGTTATTTTAAAGGAAAATTTGTGTACTTTCTCAGTTCTTTGGTAAAGTTATTGATAAACCATGAGATTAACAAGGCATATCATTGAGTGTATTGCTATTGTCCACTTGTGGTACTTCTGGAGAAGTAATCTAACCAAATCCAAGCTTTGAATATCACCATTTAGTATGTTTTCTATTTAGCTATCATATTTCTAACACCACCCTACCAGCCACATAATCTCTTCCAAGAAAACCAACAACTTCCTTTTTTTACAGAAGGAAAAGAGAAAATGCTTTGAGATTGTAAGGGTGACACTTGGTTGACATAAAATATTGGAGGCTAAAGATGTTTGCCATCTAAGTTAGAGAGATTAATTCTCAATATAAACGTTAAACCCTTTGCAATTTACTTTTCCTTGTAAATCTTGGCTTGTATGGCTTCTTCTGATAATATTACTTTACTAGCACTGACAAATCAGAAGAATACAGGTAGTCCTCGGCTTACGACTACAACTGAGCCCAAATGTTCTGTTGCTAAGTGAGACATTTGTTAAGTGAGTTTTGCCCCATTTTATGGTTTTTTTTCTTGACACAGTTATTAAGTGAATCATTGCAGTTGCTAAGTTAGCAACAGTTGTCAAGTGAATTTGGTTTCCCCATTGACTTTGGGACACTGCAAGCGTTGTAAAGTGTCAAGTGTCTGAATTGTGATCATATGCCCATAGGGATGCTGCAATGGTTGTTAAGTGTGAAAAACAGTCATAAATCACTTTTTTCAGTGACGTAACTTTGAACAATCACTAAATGAACTGTTGTAAGTCAAGGACTGCCTATATTTCCAGTAGGTGCTGATCATCATATACAAAAATGCACTCTATACATATTCAGATAAATGAGAAGTTAATAGTAGATTAGGGTTAATTGCAGCCAAAGGCTTAAACAGATATAAGAGAGTATAGTCTACAGCATAACTTTAGCTTTTAGGACAATATGAATCACATTAGCTTTTTTAATACATTCATTACTTTTTAAAAAGGCATTTTTAAAGCAGTATTTTTTAAGACACCTAGAAGTCCATCATTAGAAACCAAGTAGATACAGTTCCACTGTTCCAGCAAGTTTTTTATCCAGTGCAGTCTTGGCATTTCTTTTCATTTTACCTACATTAAAAAGAACAGAAAGATTAAAGAAGTGCAGTAATACCATCTAATACAAAGGAGTACTGCTTTCAGGTGTTGATTAAAGCTGATAGTTTTAAACATCCCACTTCCCATTCTACCAGCCACTGGCATTTTTTTAAAAATGTATGCAGTGCTATAAAAAAAAAAACTTGCTCACCTGCAGTTGTCTGATAGAAGCCACAACGGCATCAGAACAGCTGTGATATCTTTTCCCCTCTTTGCTTGCCTTGCCAACACCCACGCACAGCTGCACATTAAAGCAATATCTGATACGCCTTTCACGGACTAATCAGAAGTCCTTCACTTGGTGTTATTCCTTGTAAACCTTCCCAGCCAACTTTCCAACTGACATGGCAAAAGTGGCTCACTGGCTAAGATGCTGAGCTTGTCGATTGAAAGGTTGGCAGTTCAGCGGTTCGAATCCCTAGTGCCGCATAACGGGGTGAGCTCCCGTTATTTGTCCCAGCTTCTGCCAACCTAGCAGTCTGAAAGCACGTAAAAAATGCAAGTAGAAAAATAGGGACCACCTTTGGTGGGAAGGTAACAGTGTTCCGTGCGCCTTTGGCGTTTAATCATGCTGGCCACATGACCACGGAGACGATTTCGGACAGCGCTGGCTCTTCGGCTTTGAAAGGGAGATGAGCACCTCCCCCTAGAGTTGAGAACGACTAGCACATATGTGCAAGGGGAACCTTTACCTTTATATAACCTGTACTTCAGGCAGACATATTTGGAGACTAGATCTCGAAATCTGGTGCTCTTCAGACATTTTTGACTAATTCCCACCACACTTTTTTTTCAGTGTGAACACTGCTGCTGCTGCTGGTGGTGGTGGTGGTGGGGTGTGTATGTGTTTAAGACAGTTGGGTGAGAAAATAAAAAGGGAGTTTTTCATATATTCAAAAAGAGAATCAGTAGGCATCGTCTTCTCTCCATGTATGTCACTTCCCCGGTTTTTCCTGGTGTATACATTGAAGATAGTTTTTATCTTCTTACCCCACTGTCTTCCCCTTTTCAAGGTTTATCCAGTAGTCATTTGTAATTCAATACAGCGACCATTACTGGGGCAATTGATAAAATATTATTTCTCCTATGTCCAAAAAGACATTCCATAAACAATCCTTATCCTTCTCATTGAGGATGGTGGCCTGATCTTAATTCACTGCTTCAGTAGTTCTGTAGCATGAAAGTACATAAATTGGGGCATGAGGTTAGGTTATTTGAGGAACAACCTTACACCTTTGGTCACTACTTGAGCCATCAGTCTGGCCAAAAATGGTTCCCACCTACAGAACTAAAGAGTGCCATCTAGAGGGACACTAGAAGTTTGCCTTTTCTATCCCTCTGCCTGCCCTCTGGAACACCATTCCCTCCAACCTCCGCATTATTTTGACCCTATCTTTACTAGTCTTTTGAAGAGTCCTTAAAACTTGGCTAATTAGATAAACCTGTGAGATATACTTAAGTATTGTTGATGGCTACCCCAGTTTCCACTTTTTTTTCATTTTATTCCAGTCCATTCTCATTTTTAATTTTCAGCTTGTATTCTTACGCCAAATGTTTTTGATGATGATCTATATTTCCCACCCAAAGCTGCCTCTGTGAGATGGGTGCAAATAAATTGAATAAAATAAACAAGCACCCCAACATTTCTTTAATGTTTGTTCAGCCTGTTCAAACCCAACAGTCCCAAAATTTCAACAACCTGGACACTAATAGATACAGGATCCCTCAGATTTACCTTCTAACTAAATCCCTTTTAATAAGGGATTTAGACATTCCTGTGTCGGGTAGTACTATTTTCCACACCATTGCTGTCTTCTGATTTCCTGTACAGAATAAAGAAAGATGGGTTCAGGTTTTTTCCCATCATGGATTAATTTTTATTAAATTCAATATGGACGTTTACACTTAGATGGGTTTTCCCATTTGTTAATACTTGCTTGGCTAAATGTCCCCAGCAATAGAGCAGAATAGAGACATAAGATATGGTTTAAAAAAGTAGAAGCTAGCTATCAGTGAGGCTTCATATCTTCTAGAACAGGGGTCTCCAACCTTGGCAACTTTATGACTTGTGGACTTCAACTCCCAAAATTCCTCTCTGGGAGCTGAAGTCCACAAGCCTTAGAGTTGCCAAGGTTGGAGACCTCTGCTATAGGTGACCTTTTTCAGCCTATGGAGAAACACAAAAATGAGAGCTTTTTATTTTGTTTATGTATTTATTTAGTTCATCAAACATGTATAATAGATATAAGTATAAACATGATAATACAGGAAACGGATACAAATAAATGGGGACAGTAGGACAGGGATGTAGGCACATTGGTGCATTTATGCACGCCCCTTACAGACCTCTTAGGAATGAGGTGAGGTCAACAGTAGACAGTCTAAGGTTAAAGTTATGGGGGTTTGGGGAAGAAATCACAGAGTCAGGTAGCGCATTCCAAGCTTTGACCACTCTGTTGCTTCAATGTTCTGAACAAGCTAGAAACCCTGTGGTTTCATTACAATGCGTATGATAAAATCTGGTGGGATTTCCCAGAATACTGTTGTGACGTATGGAGTGTTCTATTATAATTTGGCTAGTTTGTACTACGTTTCTATTTAATGCATTGATTTGAAACAAACCCAGTTGATGGCTGTATTATAAATTATCTCAACATCAGCTACCCAGCAGAGGAGGGTCTAGATATGGGAACTGACAGAAGTACAGTATATTCGGTTAAATAGGTTGCTGGAGTTTGTTTCCCTGGGTTGTCCATCCTAGCAACTAGCTAGTTCACAATCACAGTAAATTAAAACCTAAGAATTATTAGGCTTTGTATTTAGGAGGTTGCCTGAGTGAGTGGTTGAACATGGGAAAAACCCGAAAGCCTAGCATAACGAGAGGACTAGAAGAAAAACCACCATTCCCTCTAACAGTTTTGTTCTCAGTAAATCTCTGGTCTCTTGGAAATGTGTACATTGCAGATATGAGTTTGCAGCATGGAAGCAAAAGGTGGCTTTGCCTATTCAACTGCTTTGTCAAAAAATAAAAATAAAAAAATCTCCTTTTTGAAATCATTCCCTATCACTTTGGTTGGACGATGGGGAGAAACAGTCTGATACGACCATTACTATTTTTAAGCAGAATAGCATTTCAGCGAATGTCTCTTACGAGATACATGTGAAAAAAGATCAAACTTCATTACATTAGAAGAAGCTTGCAATTTTTTTCTTCCTATTTTGCAAGTAGAGTCAGCAATTAGTACTCACTTTCATTAGCAGACAAATAAACAACTTGGCATTTTTACATTTAATAAGACTTGGCATATGTTTGAGGCTCAGTGGGTTTCCTGCCAACCACCCTCCATTCTACTACTAAACAAATGAGACAAAATTAATCCTTGACGTGCAACCCCCCCCCCCCATTACAATTGAATGGTAATGGTGTTGGTTATCACCTGTTATTGTTTCAATTTTACACTACTTTTGTAGTGTAACATGAAACAGTATTGCTTTAACTTTACAACAAGAACATTATTACTTACAATGTTTCTACTTGTTCAAATTCTTTTCCAACTTCTGCAAAGAGAAAAAAACCAATGTGATTTGTATTTGCTGTTGGTATATTTTACTCACTTACTTATTTAATATTTCAAGCCTGATCTCAAGCCTTTGAGTCAGTCTTGGCTCCTGATGACTGTCTGGACTAAATGTTTCCATTTTTTGGAAGTAGTTTGCCATTGCCTCTTTCATAGGACTGAGAAAGAATAACTGGTCCAAGGCACACAGTCAATTTTCAAGGTGGAACTAGAACAAGAACAATTTCCTGGTTTCTAACATGGTGCCTTAACCACTAAACCAAACTGTATATAATTTTGTTTGTTTGTTTGTTTAAGGGATTCTATAGTCAATTGTATAGTTAATGTAATGGATTAACATGACTGCTTACAAAATCTTTCTACAAAAGCAATCATGCTTATTGACTTAGTTGAAAATATGGAAAGAGCAAATTTCCAAAAATGGAATACTGCAGCTGGAAGCACATTACATTGCGTGAAATACTTTTCGCACTAACACTGCAAGATAAAATGCTGCTGTTTTTTCCTTTAGTGTGCAAAAGACCTTTGCCCATTTAATTACCAGTATAATTAACAGCCACATTAGTTTAATGTCAATACATTTCCTCTCTTATAGTGCGACTAGGTGATTTTACTTCCTATTTACTTAAATAGTTATTTTTTTTAATACTGCCAACTACTGAAATCTCCTGGCTGTATGTAATAAAGACATAATAACATACAGTAATAAAACATAAAATAAGTAATTAGTGAAGTAATAAAATTAAAAAACAAATTAAAACTCTTGGTAAGTAATACCAATACCAAGTAATATCACGATGTAAAAAAGAGATTGAGACTTTAGAAAGAGTGCAGAGAAGAACAACAAAGATGAATAGGGAATTGGAGGCTAAAACATATGAAGAACAGTTGCAGGAACTGGGTATGTCTAGTTTAATGAAAAGAAGGACTAGGGAAGACATGATAGCAGTGTTCCAGTATCTCAGGGGTTGCCACAAAGAAGAGGGAGTCAAACTATTCTTCAAAGCATCTGAAGGCAGGACAAGAAGCAATGGGTAGAAACTAATCAAGGAGAGAAGCAACTTAGAACTAAGGAGAAATTTCCTGACAGTTAGAACAATTAATCATCACAACTTGCCTCCAGAAGTTGTGAATGCTCCAACACTGGAAGTTTTTTGTCTGAAGTGATGTAGGGTTTCCTGCCTAAGCAGGGGGTTGGACTAGAAGACCTCCAAGGTCCCTTCCAACTCTGTTATTCTATTCTAATAACTCTCCCCATAAAAAGGGGGCTATGTATTGAACCTCTTTTGGAAAAGTTTCAGTTCTTCCAATGTGATAAGAAGCACACATAGGCATTTGGCCCAAGATACAAGGACATCATGTATGTCATGAAGTCATCTCACAAATGACACAAAATATGCAGTTCTTATGCAGGATGAAGTTATGATACACATGGGATCATTTCCTACTCCCCCACCCTGGATATCCATAGCCATCAGACACAACTACAAGAAAGGTGCCTGAAGGGGAATCTCTCCAGGTGATGCTAAAGAACATGGGTGATGCAAGGTATGTATGGAGAATAAAGTGTTTTGCTACACTGTAATCTGGAACCAAGGCACTTTTCATTTTCTTAGAGACCAACTGGAAGACATGAGTTTTCCCTTTCAGTGGCCACAGATATTATTTTAGGATTCGCAACATTTCTCTCCCAGTCCACCACATTCCTTTCTGATACGGCAACAAAAGCACAAAATGAAACTGCAGCTCAACCTCTTTGTCGAGTTCAATTTTAAAACATGAAATATTTGAATCACATACAAAATCTTTTATTTATCTTGTTCAAAAATATAGCATCTGCGTGATTCCACTCATCATTTAGCTTTCTACTGAATAGCAAATAAACCCAGATACTTTGAAGTAAGCACCATTTACTTAGAGATGTTTTGAGAGGCAGATGTATCCAGTTACTTGTGCCCTGATTCTATGAATGGCTTTCAAAAGAAGAAGAAAATCCTCTGGTAAAGCTACTCTTTGTTAGTTATAATAAAGCAAGGATGGCAGTCAAGGATTTATGGGCATCATGTACTGTCCGACTACAAAAATTGCTGGGGGGAAAAATCAGCAAATTCAGGAACAGAATTTGCTAGCGACACATGCTAGCAATTTCACAGATGGACAAAATGAATCATTTTGCTTGCTGGCTCAAAATTGAAAATCATTTTTATGGGAAAATCATTTTGTCCTGCATACACTAGTAAGGTCAGGCTTTACCTCCTAAAAGGAGCCCTGTCAGCAACATCTGCATTATGCAGCGATGCCAAAATGATAACATGCACACAGATTTTTTTTTCTTTACACTTATGTTTTGATGTCTGGTGCATGTACCTAAACCATGCCATTTGTCTCACAGTGTAGTCACATTTTGTTGTGTGTGCCCTTCTTACTCCCAAGAACTGTGTTCACTTTTTAAATGTAGCCCTGGATCCATCACATGAAGCTAAAATGCAGTCCTCAGCCAATAAAAGGTTACTTGACCCTATAACTTTGTTCTTAAATTCTAATAACAGAAAACTACCAGAGGAAACAAGGTTTACCTATCGTTATGGTTTAGTGCAATCTTTCCCAACTTTGCATGCTCCATTCAAAGTTGGACTTGTTCTTACAATTCCTCTTACATTATGTATCTTGGCTCAGGAATTCTGGAAGTTGAGGTCCAACACAATGGGAACATATTGACACAGGCTACTGGTAGAAGCCATATTGATGTTCCACATGTCATACATCATGATACAAATTATAGCTCAGCAAATTAGTTTATCTGCATAATTTGTGTGATAACATAATGACATAATGCAAGAAATTAATTACTCTTCCTTATCCTCTGAGATCCCCAAGAAGCTTCAGTCATAAACAGAGGTTTACCATTCATATCATCCCGTTGTTATTGCACAAAAACACCAAATAAAAGAAGCATATTTGAAGATGTTATTCTTCCATATCTTACCAGTATTAGCTTCTTTCTTTTTGGAAACCACTTCAAAGATAAAAATAAGCGCTACTAAAATGATAACTTCAGCAGCTATTACAAGAAATGGTTTGAGAGGTGTCAGATATGTCAGGACTTTGAGAGACACTTTTCCTTTGCTTTCACCTAGTAGAAATCCAGCTTTGCACCAGTATGAACTGGTGTCTAATTCAGAGAGATCAAAGATCTTCAGTTTGGTTGTGTTTGCAGGTGTCTGGATAAAGCTGTACTTCTCTGGCATCAGGGTAGAATTAATAACCACCTGATAGAAGAAAAAAAGAGTAAAGAATCTTCATCATACACCACTCATAAATCATTCTAAATTCCAATATATAGATATTTAAATATATAAATGAAGATTCTGACACGAAAATTATAACAGTGAAATAGAAACATGAAAGGGAAATTAAAAAATAAACAATCTTTGGAAATCTATGAATATTTGATTCAGAGTCCAGCTGGGGTAAGATTGGGTCTACATTACAAATACATGTCTTGAAAAGTATGTTGAAATGATGGGGCAAGGGGATAGGATAGGATTCCTCCCGTAAATGAAAGAGAACTTTACCTCTCCACTTCCATTATTTGAATACCAGATCCAAAAACTTGGGTTAAACTGGGTTTTCCCATTGCCAATATCACAAGTCAATACCACGGTGTCACCCACATAACTGATTATATGGTCAGATTTTACATGGACTTGAGGCACTAAGGGAAAACAAAAACAACAAAAAAAGAACTGTATTGGGTATGAGAAGAGCACATCTTCCTTCCCCCATCGTTCCCATTTTCTATTCAGGGATGATCAAAAGCATCCTGTTGTATTGTAATCCTATGTGGTTTGGAAGCATTATTGCTTCAGACACAAAAGCTGCACACACAGTGGTGAGGACAGCAGAGAAGATTATTGGAAGTTCGCTTCCTTCTATCCAGGACATAGTCCAGGACATAGCATATAAGCAATGCTTGACCAGGATCCACAGTATTGTCAGAGATGCTACACATTCTCTCCATGACCGGTTTTCTTTGTTACCTTCCCAGAGGAGGCTTCGTGGTTTCCGAAGCAGAACAACTAGATTATGTAATAGCTTTATATCATATAGAATCAACCTTGTTAATTCTCAAGACACTTTTTTCCGCTATGCATTAAAAACGGACTATGTTTATGTTTATCCAGAGAGAGAGAGAGAGACTGCTAGATAGAGAGAGGGAGGGAGGGAGGGAGAGAGAGAGAGAAGTCTGCTTGCTTGCGGTGGGGCAGGAGGCCACGCAGCATGCTAGCAGTGCCGCCGTGAGGTGGGGGGGTGGAACTGCCCCATGCGCCCTGCACTGGCTTACCTCAGGGACATGAAGGGACATGACACTCAACTGAAATAGGTGCCGAAATTTGTGCAATTTCAATTGCCTCCTCCTGAATTCCTGAAGGCAATTCTAGTAAAGTATAATTAAATGCATTTCCAATTTAAAATGATAAGATTATTCTAGGGACTGATGCTTTCAGGGATCAGGGAAGCAACCCTTCTCTCTCCCCTACCCTCATTCTGTGGAACAGGATGGTTTTTAGGAGGGCCTTTAAAACATGGCTATTTCATCAGGAAACCATTTCTGCCCCTTCCTCTTTCTTCTGAGCAAGTGAGCTATCAAGACGTCACCAACTTGTCTCTCCTTCCAACTCTGAGTCAGTACAAGTTAGAATGGAACCAGAGAAGCTACCATTGTTCTTATAACATTCTGTGGGGGTTATGGGTACATTAGCTTTGGGCTGCCTATCAGCTTCTGGCTCAACTTTTGCAGAAATAGAATATGGTACTTTATAGGCTTTCAGAAGACTAATATGGATCTTGGCATATACAACTGATAGTTTGCTCCCTTGACACAGCTAGAATTGAGAGGAACAGAAACAAAATGTCACTTGCAGAAGTGAGAGGAGTTCAATATAGTATTATGAGAAAAGCTGTTTCTGCAGCTTCCTGAATCCACCAATTTTGTTTTGAGCCCCCTAGAGATTCTCTCATATGGATTATTTCCCTTCTCTGTTGCATTTGGAGAATTTGAAAGGATTTTATATAGAGACATTGAAAACCCATGAAAAGTTTTGTGGGGTTTTTTTTGTATCAAAGCAATCCTCCAAGCAGGCCAAAATAATTAGCAAACAGGCCCTGGCTGCATGAAAGTTGTCCATTCTGCTCTAGATCATAAAATACAATTTTAAGGGTGAAGGGTTTTTTTTTATTTATTTATTTTTAATTTGATTTATATGCCGCCCTTCTCCGGAGACTCAGGGCAGCTTACAGTGCGTTAAGCAATAGCCTTCATTCTTTTGTATATTTTATACAAAGTCAGCTTATTGCCCCCACAAACTGGGTCCTCAATTTACCTACCTTAGAAAGGATGGAAGGCTGAGTCAATCTTGAGCCTGGCAAGATTCGAACTTACTTTAATTGCAGACAGCTGGTGTTAAATTGCAGTGCCTTGTCTGCAGAGCTATCCAGGCTCCTAGAAGGTTAGAATGTTCTTCAGTGTATTTTGTTTTACACCAACTTCTAGCTATTGGCAGTAGGCTCAAGGTAGATTTTGTCTTCCATACTTAATGATTTATATGGAAATAATGTCCCTGGTTACATCTATAAATAGCTATGGTTCTAAACATTCCTGGGAATTAAGTCACATGGAAATAACTTACTCAAAATTAACATGATTGCTAATTGTTAATTGTGTCTGGACAAACATGATTGACTGTGGGATACATAACTGCAAATGAGATTTATGTGCAAGTTCATATATCATTTCCTACTAAGGTAGAAATTTGCCATTATATGCAGGGGTGGTCTTAAAAAACTTTAGCAAGGGCTTCTCTGCCCAGTTGTTGGGTGGGTGTGGCCATGGTGGGTGTGGCCTAGTCAGACTCCTGCACCATGGCGGGGGGGGGACATTTTTGCCCTCCCCGGGCTCCAGAGGCTTTCCTCAAGCCTTCGGGAGGGCAAAAATGGCCTCTCCAGGCTCCGGAGGCCCTTCCCAAACTTCCAGGAGGTCCGTTTTTCACCCTCCCCAAGCCTCTGCGCACACCCTGCACTTACCTGCATCTAAAACAGGCCGCTAGAGCAGGGGTGGGTTCTAAATTTTTTTACTACTGGTTCTGTGGGCATGGCTTATTTTGTGGGCGTGGCTTGATGGTCATGTGACAATTATTTAGGATTTAGCAGAGGTACTGGTCTACCAGGCTTTTAACTGCTTGCAGAGCTGTACCGATCTACCTGTTTATTTTTGCAGGCACTGGTCTATCCATTTATTTTTGCAGGCACTGATCTACCCGTTTATTTTTGCAGGCACTGATCTACCCGTTTATTTTTGCAGGCACTGGTCTGCCCATTTATTTTTGCAGGCACTGATCTACTCATGTATTTTTGCAGGCACTGGTCTACCCATTTATTTTTGCAGGCACTGGTCTACCCATTTATTTTTGCAGGCACTGGTCTACTCATTTGTTTTCTTTTAATGCTGATCAGCTGTAGGGTGGCCCTTTGAAGCCCTGCGGCAAGAGTTTAAACAGTTTTTTTTCCCTCTAGCCATCAGCTGGGACTCAGGAGGCAGCAATAGATTGGGGGTGGGGCCAAATAAAAAGTAAGAATAACGTGGGGGGGGCGGGGGGAGAACCGGTTCGGTGACATCATACCGACACTACCAGCTCAGCAGAACTGGAAGGAACCGGGAGGAACCCACCACTGCGCTAGAGGTTCTCCCAAACCCCTGCAAACCCCCAGCAGCCCACCCCTGATGTAAGAAAGGATCATGCTTGCAAGTTATGTTTCATTCCCAGTTAAATGGGGTTTTCCTACAATGGCCTGAATATTTTCACTGTTATGCAGATAATCAAATTTAACATGACCCAAGCTTTTCGTACCAGAAGCCAATAACTGTGGAAACCTAGTTTCTGCTATTTTTCTCATTCAAAAACAAGCAAGCTAAAAGAAAAGGCAGTTTTTGCAAACTAACTGTTAAAATTCCTGACCAAGGGAAGAAGAAAAAAACCCAAAAACTTGAGCTTGCCAAAGCCAAGTATGAGGAACCATTTAAAACATTCTGGTTTGAGCAAATTTATTTTGCTCGCACCATTACCCAGCCACAAAACATAGCGGTGTGAAATATATTGCTCGTGTCTCACTGATAGATTAGAGCTGAACAAATACGCCATGAAATAAAATGTATCTAATCATTACCACTTTCCAGTCTGATTTATGTTTGTCTGCAGAGTGTAATATATATTTTTTTTATCCTAATGAAATTTTCCTTCTAAACGTGCACTATTTTATGACTCACAATAAGCAATGGCTTATTATGACTCACAATAAGCAAATGCCTATGGAACACATAGTCATAATTATGTGAGGATGATAGATACACAACAATCCATTATATTCTTCTTGATTTAGCACTTTTGCAGCAGTTCTACTGCCAAAACTACAGTATATAAATTATTATACAGATGGGCAATTTTAAACATCCCTGATGGTCAGGGTTGATCTTTAATTCTTCCATACTCAAATTTTCTATTTTTAAATGCCCATATTATCATGCAAAAGCAATTTTCTTAGTGATAGAGCTTTTCCTATCAGGATACTGCAAATGAGTTTGGAAATGTTTAGCTGTTTCTGCATATGAGTTGGGCTTTGTAGGAGACTACTCAGTTCAGAAATTCCCTTGGGGTTGTAACAACCTCAGACTTCAAAAACTAACTAAAAGAGCAGTGAAGCTGAATTCTTTTGGGTGTCTGATGCTTGATTAGGTCTTAGATTTACATTTAAACAGTACAGGGCCAAAAGTCTAATCCTAAAAAACATCATTTTTGAAGTTTGAAAAGAGACAAGTGGAATAATCTTTCTCCCCACTGAAAGGGAATATATTTACAGCCCCAGCAGTGATTCTTCAAAATGCACTTGTTCGGTTTTAAAAATCAGTAGCAAGTGGGTGTATACAAAAGGCAAGAAATAATTAATATTTAATGGATATAGTCCATTAATCTGCATCATCGTTCTATGTTTAGTCATCTCAATAATTCATCACATTGCATCCTCAGTGAAATATCATTTTACATCAGATGATACTGCATTATCGATAAAAAGGAACAGCAACAATAAAAACTGCTGTGACATTCCATGCAGATTTGAGGAGAGGCAGAAATAATCTTAAAATGAAGAACAAAAAGAAAAGAAATTAGGTTTAAAGGAACCAGTCTTGATATGTTTTAAGTTACGTCTTAAAAGAATTTAGTATTTTGATGGTGTACAGCAAAATTCCTCCTTCGTGGTAATGAGAAAAATATATTTTTTTAGTTTGATTTGCCATTGACAACTACTGGGGTTGGTCCAGTTTTTTCCATGTTTTCATTTTTAATTGGGATGGTGGAGAGCTAATAACATTAATACAGGTAGTCCTTGACTTATGACAATTAAACTCAAAATTTTTGTTGTTAAGTAAGATTTCTTAAGTGTTTTTTTGCCCCATTTTATGACCTTTCTTGCCTCAGTTGTTAAGTGAATCACTGAACTTGATACATTAGTAACCCTGTTGTTAAGTGAATCTGGCTTCCCCATTGACTTTGCTTGTCAGAAGGTCATAAAAGGAGATTTACATGACCCTGGAACACAGCAACGGTCATAAATATGAACCAGTTGCCAAGCTTCTGAATTTTGATCACCTGATCATGGGGATGCTGCAAAGGTCAGTGAAAAATGGTCATAAATCACATTTTCACTGCTGTTATAACTTTGAATGGTCACTAAATGAACTGTTGTAAATCAAGGACTAACTATCTGATAGTCTATGGAGAATCTCAATCATCCAGGTCATGGTTATCCCAAACATGCTTTTTTCAAAAGGCAACTGGACTTTCCTGTTTCTTTTTTTCCCTTTGAAAACATTTTGCTTCTCATCCAAGAAGCTTCTTTAGTTCATGAAGCTTCAGGAGAACTAAAGAAGCTTCTTGGATGAGAAGCAAAATGTTTTCAAAGGAAAAACAAGCACCTTTGGGACATTAATATGCCAGAGCAGAAAACACGGGGTTCAATTCTCTGATTTGCTGGTAAATGGTGTGATTTGGGAAGAGTTGAGTTTTTAAAGGGTAAATTCTTGGATCTTACCTTGTAAAACAAATGTAGCCTTTATTTCTGGTGTAGTTTTATAAACACATGTGTAATTCCTCATCTGGTCTTCATTTCTGACTTTTATCCTTAAAAATAGTTAAGCAATTCATACATAATAAACACTATCGAGCTATAAAGTAAAAAGTAAAAACAAAAACAATATGAAAACAGCAATTGAAAAATATGTAACAGTAATGTTCTGGATTGATAAATGATGACATGCAAGCAGCTTGATGAAACAGATACAAATTTATGATAGTTGAAATATTATGAATATCCAAATGGAACATCACAGTTCAGATAACTACCGATGGAAAGGACCTCAGTCATCCTCTAATCCAGGGGTGTCAAACTCAAGGCCTGCGGGCCAGATCCAGCCCTCAGGGTGCTTAGATCTGGCCCACAGGGCCACCCTGGAAACAGCAAAGGACTAACCCATGGTGACTCTGCCAGTGAAAATGGAGCTCAGGATGCCGCGCATGGCCTGCCTGGGTCCTGTTTTCAGCTGCAACGGCCTCCTGCAGCCCTCTGCCAGAGAAAATGGAGCTCACGCCCCCCTCCCAAGTTCCATTGTCACTGGCAGAAGGCTAGCAAAACAAACAAAAGGAGAAATGTTTCCCCTTTTGCATTTGAGCATGCAAGAAGGGACAGGAAAAGAGAAAGGGAAAGAGGAAAGATGAAGAAAAAGATGGGAAGAGTGCAAGGAAGGAAAAATAAGGAAAGAGGGGATGGAAGAAGAAAGGAGAATGAAGAGGAATGGAAAAAGAAGAAAAGGGAGGGAGGGAGGGAGGGAGGGAGGAAGGGAGGAAGGAAGGAAGGAAGGAAGGAAGGAAGGAAGGAAGGAGGAAGGAAGGAAGGAAGGAAGGAAGGAAGGAAGGAAGGAAGGAAGGTTATAATGAGAGTGAGAGAGGGTCTGAGGGAAGTCGTGCCTTAGGACTTGGCTACCACAAGGTCTGTCCCACCCTCTCCCGCCCAACATGAGTGACATCAAGCTGGCCATGCCCACCCTGGCCACGCCCATCCCATCCCCCCCCACCCGCCAAGGTCAAACACAACTGTGATGCCGCTCTCAATAAAATTGAGTTTGACACCCCTGCTCTATTTTTTTTTTAAATTTGATTTATATGCCGCCCTTCTCCGGAGACTCAGGGCGGCTTACAGTGCATTAAGCAATAGCCTTCATACTTTTGTATATTTTATACAAAGTCAGCTTATTGCCCCCACAAACTGGGTCCTCAATTTACCTACCTTAGAAAGGATGGAAGGCTGAGTCAACCTTGAGCCTGGCAAGATTTGAACTTGCTTTAATTGCAGACAGCTGGTGTTAAATTACAGTGCCTTTGTCTGCAGAGTTATCCAGGCTCTTAATCCAAGCACAGCCCCCTGCAGGAATTCAGTACAATACAAGTAGTCCTCAATTTAAGATAATTGAGCCCAAAATTTCAGTTGCTAAATGAGACAGTTTTTAAGTGAGTTTTGCCCCTTTTTACAACTTTTCTTCCCCTAATTGTTAAGGGAATCACTGTAGTTGTTTCTGGTGTTTTGGAAAATAAATTGACCCACTCTTCTTTGTGGCAGCCTCTCAAATAGTAATAGACCTTAGCAATAGCACTTAGACTTATATACCACTTCACAGTGCTTTTACAGCCCTCTCTAAGAATCTTAGAGAGTCAGCATATTGCCCCCCCAACAATCTGGGTCCTCATTTTCCCCACCTCGGAAGGATGGAAGGCAGAGTCAACCTTGAGCCTGGTGAGATTTGATCTGCCAAATTGCAGGCAGCTGGCAGGCAGCAGAAATAGCCTGCAATATTCTACTCTAACCCAGGTGTCTCCAACCTTGGCAACTTTAAGCCTGGGAGTTGAAGTCCCCCAGGCTTAAAGTTGCCAAGGTTGGAGACACCTGCTCTAACCATCGTGGCTCATGCAAATATTGGAAAACTGCTGTCACGTCACCCCTAGTCCTTCTTTTCTTCAGACTTGCCGTACCCAATTCCTGCTGTTCTTCATATGTTTTTGTCTCTAGGCTTTAATCATTTTAGTTGCTCTTCTCTGCATTTTTTCCAAAGTCTCAACATTATTGTTGTTGTTGTTTTTGGTAACGTGGTGACCAAAACTAAATGCAGCATTCCAGGTGTGGTCTTCCTAAGGATTTATAACGTGGTTCTACATGACAGTCTTCTAGCCACTGCAAGTACCCCTCCTAGGGTGACCCTCCGTACTAAAAGATTGTTCCTCTCTCCTTTAAACTATGTCAGCATGTAACAGAAAAGCCACTTACAGATATCGAGTGCACCATTTGGAGTGAGTTTCATTCCTCCTGATGGTCTCCGGATTGAAAGTTGCATTTTCTGAGTTCCAAACAGTCTCCATTTTTGCCGCATTTGTGGCGTTGCTGATGACCAAACTACACATTAGTTCAAGTTCAGCTGGACTCTCTAATGTGAAAGTTTTTGTTTGAGGAACTTTGGAAAATCCTATGGAAAATAGTTAGAGGAGATAACACTTCCCTGATTAAAAGAAAATAATTGCATATAAATATATATATATATGAGTGTATTACTCAAGGAATTTTTTGGTCAACTATTAGCTTCAAAACACTTAGCACATTCAGATGAATTTGGCAATTAAAAGCTTTAGCTTTCTAAAATATTGCAGTCTCACATGCCACACGTATGTCAAACTTTGTTTCAAATACTCTAGAAGTTGAATTTTAGACATGGCTCCTAAAAAGGCCTTAGTAAGACTATGTAGGAGAATATCATACACCTAACATTTCATTCATAGAACAACTGCCTTGGCTGTTTGATAATCCCTTGATTTCTAACTAGATGCATTATTATGCTACCTTTTAGCCTGTGCTTAACAGTGGACATAACCAGTGGTGGGTTTCAAAATTTTTTACTACCGGTTCTGTGGGTGTGGCTTGGTAGGCGTGGCAGGGGAAGGATACTGTAAAATCTCCATTCCCACCCCACTCCAGGGGAAGGATACTATAAAATCTCGATTCCTTCCCCAATCCAGGGGAAGGTTACTGCAAATTCCCCATTTCCTCTCGATCAGCTGGGACTCGGGAGGCAGAGAATAGATGTGGGTGGGGCCAGTCAGAATTTTTACTACCGGTTCTCGGAACTACTCAAAATTTCCACTATCGGTTCTCCAGAACTGGTCAGAACCTGCTGAAATTCACCTCTGAACATAACCTATGCTGTCATCAGAATCCAGATGCATCAGAATTTGCTATTGACTTTGAATTTGGAAGCCTGCCACAACTCAAGGAGAACCAGTTCAAGATGAATCCAATCTAATTCTTCTCTCTTAATACCCAAACTTAGAAGAACACCAAAAATGCCATAGCAATGTAGCTAATTTTCCAAAATGAATGACAGCTGAAAAAAATCTAATCGTTCACTGATTAATTTTTAAAGATGTATTTACTTTCAGAAATTCAGAATCAAAATCTTGTAATTATTGCTTTCGTTTCAGAAAGAAAACAACCAAACTCAGAAAGCAACAAGAACCCCCAGTTCAATCCAGAGCTATAAACATTCCTTTCTATTCGTTTAGATAATGTACTAAAATGAATAGGACTTTGGTTGAACCATAGATCTTTTTCACTTAGGATACACCCTGACAGTCTGCAAGGAGGATGAATGATGCATATCATGAACTCACTGCTCCAATTAAATCAAATTACATAATTTGCATAATTTTATGATAAATCTAATGACATGCATGTCTACACGTCCATCACCAGCAAAGCACAACTTTATCCACAGCTATCTCTTTCCCATCTTCCATCACTGAACAGAAAATGATGGCAACCTTTAGGGGAGAGAATACTCTTACAACATGAATCAACAGATCATTGGTGGGATATGTCAAAATAGTGCTAGAAAATGAGTACGGTGAATCATGAGCAATCAGAAATGGGATGCTGATGAAACAGAAGACACCGAATGCAAAAAGGCTGTAATGGAGTCTATGAAGACAATAGGAAAGATTAGATTCTGACAATGGAGTCCATGAAGGCAGAGCTGGGGGATATACCATATAAAGGAAAGGAGAAATCGATTATACTAAGGAAACTAATTCAGAGAATCACTATAATATTGCATTGGTGTAATGGCTAGGTAAAATCAACCATAGAATAGTAGCAGTCAGTATGGTTCTGATCCACAAAAGATCTACTGGGAAGCTGTAACTTAGAGCCTTGAAGATTAAACTGGTGTGAGCAATGTGAGGTTAATCTGCTTTGGCTACTTTGGGCTTTGCTAAATCCTTAGAACGTGAAAAACAAAGGCTGAGTAGGAATCATTTCAAAACTGAAAACATTCCAAGTTCAAAAGCAGCTACCTCAATCAGGGTGTTGGCCCCAAATGACTTCCAACATAAATGAAAACAGTGTTCTTTGTATCAGGCAAGAAATGTCAAATTCAAGATGATTTGAGTTCAAGGCACTATGCACAAACCTGCTAAATCCCATCCATATCTACATCTTTATCTATATCTTTATATCATCTGTATATGCATACATATATGCATAGGCATCCATACCCATACCCATACCTATACCTAATTTCAGCTACCGGTTCTCCAGAACTGGTCAGAACCTGCTGAAACCCATCTCTGGTCTGTTCTTCAGGACAACATGGAGGATGTGGGTCTGGGCATTTTCTGAAATCTAACAGACAAGTATATAAGAAACAGGCTTCTTACTCAGAGAAGTTATGCTTTTTTAAACATAAATCTTCTCCCTAAAAATAAGCTATCCTGGCTACATGATTATCGACGCAAGGCAGGTGTCGGGGCATGGGTGATCTGGATGCAGGAGCCCTGAGGTAACTCCCCTGCCTCACGGCGGCAGTAGCACATCATGCGGCCTCTTGCCCCACCACAAACAAGCAGAAGTGGGCCTCCCATACGTGGGACAGGGGGCAGAAGACATCCCTGAAAATAAACCCTAGTGGTTATTTTGGGGCCCAAAAGAAAATAAGACCCGGTCTTATTTTCAGGAAAATGCGGGATTTAGTTGTAGTCCTTTGATGAAAATATGTGACCTATGATACCATTTTTGAGGATGGGGCAATTCAATTATTTTTAACTAGTTTTGCAAAGTTTTATTATTTGTGATTTTTTTTTAACTTAGTAATTTTATTGCTGCTAATCTCTTTGGCTTTTCTTTATAGGGAAAGAGGAAAAATAGTTTCTATTAATCAGATATTTTCCATACAAGTCATCCTTTTGGCCTGTGGAATTCATTTGTAAATATTCAATCTGAGAAACAGGAAAGTGAAATTCCTTTGAATCTGCCCTGGCAAAGAAGGGAAATTTAACAGGGTTAACAAAGAGATACTGAGTATCATGAAGTGACTCAGAAAATCAAAGCAACTTAAAAGTTCTTATGAATACAGTTTCCACATGGGAGAACAGAATTCCAGATAATCTCAAAGTGGAAGCAAATATAAGGAAAACTCTAAATCATGATGTCATCTAGTATCTATCTGGATTTTTGCAGTCTAGAATCTGGATCTGGAGGTTTAATATAAAATAAAAGGACTGCCTCTTTTTAGTAGCTACACTATTGTAGGGGAAGAGCAGGCTGACCTGGAAGGCAAGGTTAAATGTGTCATCAGTTTAGAGTTATTACGTTGCCACAAGAGACCTACTAAGTCCAGCCTTCTCATGAATTCTGTTGACCCTTATCTAGCGTCAAGTTAGCTTTGATCATTAGTTGACTATATTATTGTACTACTTCTGTGGTTTCCAACTCCATAAATGCTCCTGGTTATTTGCGACTGATTATTACACAGCTTCTGTTTGCATGCAAAATTTAAATTTTACAACTATGAAATTGAATGTTGCATGCTGATTTGACAACCTCTTGTGTAAGAACAACAACAACTGACAACCTACAGAATTAAATGCTCATCCTTACAGTTTTTTTCCTCATCAATTTCTGCCCAAGCTTTCAGCTAGTTAAACAAATTGAATCAAACACTCTTATTAAATTACCTTAAATTTTACTGCTGATTCAAAAATATAATAACTAGACATCCTATGACCCATTGGGTCCTCATTTCAGAGATATGAAATGAGCCTACACAGAGAGCCTTACCTACACAGAGAAATAAAAAGACCAAGGATAGACAAAAAAGCAATGGAAGTGGGGTGACTTCAGACTTCCTACTGGCTTCCCCATTGAGTTGCCTTGTGGGAAGCTGACAGGAAGCATCAGAAACCTCCCTACTTCCCTTGAATTCCTGTCCACTTCCACATTTATTTTGCTTTTCAAAGAGAAAGTCAATGATGTAGCCAGCAGGAGGTAACAGGCTGCTGCAGGTGGAGAAAATGAGGGAAGAAGTGAGGGGGTGCAAGTCAGGAGTGGTATGTGGAGATATGAGAGAGGTCCAACATGGGTTGGGAAAGAGTGTGTGGGAATGGCCAGAGATGTCACATAGAAAGGGGAGAGTGAGTGGGAGGGTGGTGGAGGTCAGGAAGGGTGAAGAAGTGCTGTATAGGTCAGGTCAGGCACATGGGGATGTAGCGCAGATCAGGGAAGGCACACCTGAGCTGACCAAGGTTGGGGGAGCACAAGGCTTCCTTCCATCCTATTCTTCCCTCCCTCCCGTCATTCTTTGCAGGTAAGTGGCTCTTGCTGTTGGGTGAAGGAGGAAGAGCGGGATTGTGAGACTGGCTAGGGAACTGTCACAGAATGTTGAAAATGAAAATCAGAAGCAGAAGCCCAGGAGCACAACTGGAAGTACCCACAACGTTTCCAAATTTCATTCCCTCAAGCTCATAGATCCCAGATTTTGGACACATTCTATAAGTTAGCCCATTTGAGTAGCTTAGTTCAAAAATTGTTGCCCTCTGATGCACAGTTTCACACAGGTTATGACAACATAATCGTAATCTTTAGTAGTATATAGGTTAGCATACATCTCTCTCGTCAGTCAATATTCAAGTTAAAGATTAAGAAAAACATACCCTGTATGATAATGGTATCATTCAAGAAAGGGAGCTTCTCAGCTTCATCAAAAGTTGTCATGGTGGAAGAAGGACCTGCTGTAAAAAAAAAAAAAAGTGACTAGATTTATTTCAATGGAACATCACTGAAGACATATTATGCTGACCAGATTCATATAAAAAGCTACTCCATATGTGTCTCAAATTAGTCCATGCTATGATTTCCTTATACTATGTGTTGTCCTCTACTCAAGACTATTGCTAATGGAGGTTAGGAGTCACACGTAATATTAAACCATTACATACTGTTACAAAGAGATCCACAAAGGACCTCCAGTTCTGTTGTTTAAATGCCAATAATTCTGAGGTCTCTTATAATTTTTTTTTTTAAAATTCTAATAATTCTAATAAGTCCTCCTCTAACCAATATTCCTTGGAAATAAGCAATAATCTAAATTATGGGGGAAATGTTGATTTAATATGCCAATATAGTGTGTGTGTGGGGAGAGAGAATCTGTTAAATCTAAAAGTCTACTAATGTTTAATTTACATCATTTATATCAATTTACATCATTTGTGGACTTACATTAATTCATGTAAATAGCATAGCCTCAATTTAGTGGATAAACCTTCTATTTAACAGATATTAGCCAATTGAAATATACCTGTTGTATGTGAAGTCTGCTAAATTAAAGCCCATTAAACTGAGCATTTATCATACATCTCTGGTGATCAGGCTATTTACAATCTTTCACTACAAGGTATTTTTCCTTCCATAAGCTGCAAAACGCACTTATCAGGTCATCAAATAATAATAATTGCAACAATCACATCAACAATAATATATTAAATTTGTATGCCACTTGATTCTAAATGATTCTAGGCAGCTCACAACAATCAAATCAGCAAACAAATTATAATCAAATCAATGAAAGATAAAAATTGGTAAACAACAATGAAGTAAGTAGAATTGAATCAAGATGATCCCCCCCATTCAAACCTACCCAACCTCCAGACATTGGGACATTAATAATCTCTCACTTGACTACAAAGGGTCAAAAGATATAATTGAGTATCATCAGCATCCTGACGAATCTGAACCCCAAACCAGCAGATGGCTTCACCAGATGACCTCACCCAACAGTTTCATGTAGATGTGGAAAAGCAGGAGGGAGAGAGTAGAATCTGTAGAACTTCACATAAGAGGGCCCTAGGAACTGATATATCTCTCCCCCACAACCACTGTCAACTGTAACTGACTCCAGAGAAGAGAACTTCCATAAAACGGTAAACCCAAACCATGGAGCCAGCTAAGAAGGACTCCATGGTTCACAGTATCAAAAATTGCTGAGAAACCAAAGAGCCCAAAAATGGATACACAACTGCCATCCTGGCCAAGATCATCAACAAGCATAACCAAGGCTGTCTCAATGCTAAATCCCCACCTGAAACCCAAGTGATGCATGAGAGGCATGGCAAGGTTCAGAGAGGCTGTGAGGAAGTGTTGAGAGGTGCAATGCAGGCCAGGAATGGTGTGCAAAGGTGTAGATCAAGGAGAATGCATGGTGTGCACAGGGGAGGGCACACAGGGTTGTAGCACCTGCCCAGTGTGATATAAGCAGAGAAGAGCTGGGGGAGGATATGAGGGTGAGGGAGACTTACTACAGTAACTTGCAACCATCCCAGCCGGCTTCCCTATTGACTTTCTGGGGAAACCGGCAGGGGAAGGTTACAAAAGATGATTACATGATTGTGGGTACTGCAAATGGTCACCACCTTTAAAGCGCTCCATGGCATCGGACCTGGGTATTTGCGAGACCGCCTTCTGCCGCCGATAGCCTCCCACCGACCAGTATGCTCCCACAGAGAGGGACTCCTCAGGATGCCGTCAGCCAGGCAATGTCGGCTGGCGACCCCCAGGGGGAGGGCCTTCTCTGTGGCAGCACCTGCCCTCTGGAAAGATTTGCCCCTGGAGATACGAAGGATACGAGATCTCCGGGCCTTTCGCCGTGCCCTAAAAACTTCTTTTCCATCAAGCAGGGCTGGCGTGAACTCCCCCCCCCTTTTTAGCTCTTTTTAGCTTTTTAGCTTTTTTAAGTGTAAATTGGGTTTTAATTGGATTGTTTTAAATTGTGGGCCAAAGCTGTATAATTCTTTTAATTGATTTTAAATTTTGTATTGGTATGTTTTTTATCCTTGGCTGTGCACCGCCCTGAGTCCAATAGGAGAAGGGCAGTATATAAATTGAATAAATAATAATAATAATAAGTATGAACTTATTACCTAATGCTCAGACCATGATCTTGTGACCTCAGGGATGCTGGGAAAGCCAGAAATTCAAGGATGGGTCATAACCACCATTTGGTCAGTGTCATTGTAATGTCAATGCTCACTAAATAAATGAGCATAGGTCAAGGACTACCTGTATTGCATTAAATATGGATTCTTAAAAAAAAAAAAACAAGGAGAGTTTAATTCTTCCTCTTCACTGAAATCACTCCACCAAATTCTTTAACCAAATGTGTTTTCCTCAATTGGAAAGAGCACATTTATTGACATCTGACTAGGGTATGGAGAGTATAGGGAATGACTATGAAGGACAAACGAAAGACTCACTACTACAGCAACAATCATACAAGTATAGCTTGAGCCTATTTCAAGAAACTACTTTAAATAAAAGTCTCATAGAGCGGGGGTCTCCAACCTTGGCAACTTTAAGACTTGTGGACTTCAATTCCCAGAATTCTGGGAGTTGAAGTCCACAAGTCTTAAAGTTGCTAAGGTTGGAGACCCATGTCATAGAGGACTCTCCATAGTTCAAGCCATAATAAAGTGAAGGGGCAGGGGGAAGCACATTGACTTGTAAGATTATACTGCCATAGATATTTACAATAAAAGTAGTCTTGACCTATATGGCACTGATTTCTTAGTTGGGTCTACCTTATTGGGCTAATTCTGGAAATGCCATCTATATGGACCTCATGTTAAATCTTGGTGGTGGGCTTCCTCCTTTGGAGCTCCCAGTTATTCAAGCTATGCCATGTTTCCCCAAAAATAAGACCGTCTTATATTTTTTTGAACCCTGAAATAAGTGCTTGGCCTTATTGCCATGCGCTCAAAAGCCCGATTGGGTTTATTATCAGGGGATGTCTTATTTTGGGGGAAAGAGGGTACTTGATTGTTGTTTTAATATTGCTCTTTATGATAGATTATTGTAAGGCCTTCAGAATCTCTAGAAATGAAACAGTATATAAATTAGAGCAAGTTTTTCCCACCTTGATCTACACCATTGAAAATAGGAATATCCTTATTTAGAAGTAATAACAGCATTAGTTTTTTTTTTAAAAAAAGTTTTAACAAGCCTTCTGATTCTGCAGAAGTTGCACTCCTTTTAGTAACACATTGTCTATAGTATTTGGATATATACTCCACCCTTCCTGTAGGTGAAGTAAAATTAATGGGAACAAATGTACTTTATTTTAGAATATACAACTTTGTTTGGCCAATGGTTCACATGGGAAGAGAAGCCCAGCAGAGTTGAAGGGTTTCAAAAGAACCCTGCTGGGTTAGGAGGAAGGCCTATCTTCAAGACCAATATCCTGTCCCGCCCAGTGGCCAACTAGGTACTTTCAGGAAACCTTTAAGCAGTGTTTGAAGACAAGGCACCTGGCAACTGACAGGAAATCTGCTCAGGAAACCATTCAGAGACATAAACATCTGAATTTCCCCTAAAAGTACCCAGAACCACATTATAAATGAATGTGCCACCAAATGAAGCACTTTTTGAATCTGTGCCACTTCAGTGAAATCACCTGCCCATGTGTTCAAGTTCTGTCTACCATGCTATAATAATCTCCTTGGTGGCTTGCAACTTTTTTGTACAACCTGATCACAAAGCGGAAAAAGAGCTTATGCATTGCTTCTATTTGACAGTGAACAATCTTATCCCTTTACAATCATATATCTCTTTACTTCAATTATATCACAAAGGAAGACAACACAAGGAAATTCCTTTCAAGATTTGAGAAGAGGGACAGCCACAGAAGTGACAAATGATGGAGAAATAATGTAATAGAAAACAACAAATAACAAAGCAAAAGAACCTCAACCTAGGAGCAAAAATATCTTAATTACTAAGTGGCATCACCCAAATAAATTCTTAAAAATTCCAAGAAGTTCCTTTGTACAGAAAGAAGATGGAGGTCAGATTTTGTAGGTTAAGGTTATTTAGTATTTAGTTATTTGTTTAGTAAACTATACTAAATATGGATTGGCCAAAACTTTAAGGATAATAAGCTTTCTGGAGGATGCACACCTTCGGGAGTCCTTCAGACTCCTTCAGAATACTTTAAAACCTAAATACTTGTAAATGCATTCATCACATCCATTCAGCATTGATGGTATTTCTATATTCCATCAAGAATTTTTAGGCATGATAAGAGAAATAAGGAGAGGCAAATTCCTGCTTTCACATCATTGAGGATGTGTTGCATCCTAGAAGCATCCAAATCAGTAATTATCCAGCGAAAAAAATCTGGTTTTTCTACTCTAAGATGGGAGACAGACCCAGACAGCAGCACAGTCTGTCCATCAATCTAAATAGTGTATATTCTTCAACCCTCAGAATTTTGCTACGTGATATTTTAACTCACTAGAGGCTAATTCCCACGGTGCTTATGTCAAGCAACAAAGCTACTTCATATACCTGCCTGGACAGAAAAATGTAGGTCCATCCATACATGACAAACAGCATGCTTTAGCTGCAAGAGTGACAACATTTTTAGATCAATATCATACATCAATTTTAAAGGGTTTCTTTCTGAAAATGTATAAGAGTCTAAATTCCCAAGGATGAGGATCAGGTTAATAGAAATGGGGCTTAAGCACAGACACAGTCAGACATTATAAGAGGTGAAGTTGAGCCACATTTGAAAAGTCACAGGTTCTTTGACCTTACCTTACAATTGTCACTACAACTTGAATTAACCCGAGGGAAAACTGAAAAGTTGAGGAAGAAAGTTACGGATTTTACCTGTGCTGGAGAATTCTAAAGTTGTAGGTGTAGAAATTCCTGTAGTTTTCTCACTGATACTTTCTGATGGAGTAGAAGTCTCTAGTTTTATGTAAAAATAAAATCCATAATTAGTTACAGCAATACAGAATATGTATTTCTTATAACAGGTTTATGGTAAAGAATAGGTGAGAACAACTTGGTGGTAATTGTTGCTATTCCTTTTATTAATTTCTTGCAATGTTCTATTGATATTTAATTGGTTGTTTAATAATTTTGGGAGATTTTCAACTATGCTTTAGTAGACATGGCAATTTTTCATCAATTTAATCAATTTAAATCCATTTAAAAGTCCCTGTTATTATGGGTAATGGATTTGTGTGTTACCAGAAGAAAAGCATTCACCCAATCTTAGATAATTTATCCAGGTTTGGGAAGCATTACCTTAGACCAAGAACAATACTTCCATAATAATTAATTAAATATCTCTATCCAACTTTACCGAGCCTAACTAAACCAGTTTTTCAACCATATATATGTTTGATATTTTTTCCATCATGGAAAGGAATTAATTTTGAAAGACTTCTCCTGTTCCTTTTCCAACTGACTTTTTTGGCAATTGTGTTTCAGGGCTCTTAAAATCTATTTGTAAAGTTGAAAAGTGAAACAATTAATGTTGCATTACTGATGACTCACAATATAGAAAATAGGGTATTGATGGCTAGGTGGGTGGGTATGTATGTATTTTCCTCTTGTTAATCAAGACTATAATAAAAGTCATTTTGGGAAGTTTCCATATTTTTGGTAAACTGCGCAAATTTGTCGAGAGATATTGACACAGAAGTTCCTATATTTAATCTTGCTATATAACACAGGACATAGGACATACAGTATGTAGGAAAAATCTTGAACCTTTCCTTCCTTTTCCACTTTGTCCTGAAAGGTTTCTTGAAAAGGTGCTGGGAGATTTTAAGAAGGAATCCTTAATATTCTTCCCAACTGTTTTGCATGACTTCTGCCATCTGAGCAGCCCTGAACAAATGTTCTAACTGAGAGAGATTCTGAACCTTTTGGAAGAAAGCAATCTGCGTGTTAACAAGGGTGAAATACTGATTTTGCCTGAGTCACAGAAGAGAGGAAATAATTCATTTCTGTTGTCTGGAGCCTTTTCGTCATGTAATGCCAAAGATCCCGTTTCTCTCTTCTTCGCCTTGCTGCTTGCAAATAACATTTTGTGCTGACACCAGACAGATGACCTCATTTCAGATAGACCCCAAAGTGGAATGAAGACAGAGTGTCTCATCAGAATCCATTATGCCTTTGTCAATAACTGACTAGGAAATTAAATCAAGTTGGTGCTCTCCACTGGACAGAATATGTCTTCTGGTTTCTAAGGCAAACCAGTGGCCTAGTCTCTATAGATCAGTTTAAGTTTGTATCAAAGCTTCCTGAATGCTCAGAGGTTCTCATTCAGAAAAAAAGTGACGAGCAAAGAATAGTTAGGCAAACTCTATCATAAGGCAGAGCCAAGCAGCTTCCTTTAGCATGGGAGGTACCTCTGAATTAGGGAGACTACAGATAGTCCTTAACCTACAATCACAATAGTGACCAAAAAAATTGTCATTAAAGAGTGTGGTTGTTAAGTGAGACAATACATGACCTCCACCAAATTTTATGACCATTTTTGCTGTGATCGTTAAATAAGACATTAAAATGACTGCAGCTTCAACCTTCCTTGCTAGCATCCCCACTGGTTTTGCTTGTTGGAAGCCAGCTGGGAAGGTAACAAATAGCGACCACATACTACAACAGTTGTGTGAGAACTGGTCATAAGCCACTTTTTTCAGCACTGTCAGAACTTTGAATGGTCGTATGTCAAGGAATGTCTGTATACAGACTGATCCATTTGTTTTTTTCTGAAGTGTTGAAGTAAGAAGAACAGTATTTCATTCTCCACTTCAGCCAACGTGTCTTAAGAATGTCGTTTGGAACAGGGTGGATTTGATTTAAATCGAGTTGATTTAAATCACAATTTAAATCATGATTTAAATCACTAGTAAAACGGCTTGATTTAAATCAAGTCGATTTAAATCATAATTTTTAAAGAGCAACTGTCATCTCTGCTACTCCTTTCATCCAGTTGACTCACCGATAGTCCCAGTGTTGCAGAATATACAGCCTCATGCTACATAACTAAGCTCCATTTCATGCTGAATAAACTAAATTATTTATGTATCTTAAATAGAAAACTACCTTACGATAGATTTTTACCCCAAAAGTTTTTTATTAAAATAAATTTGATAAAAATCAAAAAAATCCGATTTAAATCAAAAAAATCCGATTTAAATCAAAAAAGTCTGATTTTTTTGATTTTTTTAAAAAAATCATTGATTTTTATCCATCCTGGTTTGGAATGTTAACTGTAAGGATTTATCTTCTGTTACGTTGGATTCCATGATTTCTTAAACCTCATTTTGACTTTTTTTTTAACTTTTTTGAAATATATAAAAATGTTTAAGCCATTTACAGCCCACAATGCAAATGGGTGGTATATACCAGGGGTGAAATGCTCCCGGTTCGGACCAGATCGCCCGATCCAATAGTGATGGAGGTGGGTGGTTCGGAGAACCGGTAGCAAAAATACCTGCGCCCCCCCCACATGCCCAGCTGAGCCCCGCAATCATCAGAGACTTTTTAAAATTATTTTTAAAAGCATTTTTTCTACAACCACTTTGGCCAAAAAAATGCTTTTAAAAGTAAAAAAAAAAAACCTCTGATGATCGTGCGACTCAGCTGGGATCGTCAAAGGCTTTTAAAAGCCTTTTTTTCTTTTAAATGCCTCTGACGATCCAAGCTGAGTTGCCTGATCGTCAGAGCCTTTTGAAAGCATTTTTTTACAAAAATGTTTTTAAAAGTAAAAAAAAAAAAATGGCCACACCTACCCAGTCACATTAACCCAACCACCGCCACCACCACCATCAAGTCACGCTCACAGAACCGGTAATAACAAATTTTAGATTTCACCACTGGTATATTCGCTAATGTAGTCATCATAACTGTTCGAATACTAGCACTATCTGATATGCCAATATTCACATGCTACATTGTGTGTGTGTGTGTGTGTGTGTGTGTGTGTATTGTGTGTGTGCGCTTGTGCTCAATATGTCAGTTTCTGAAGTTTGTGTTGCATTCATTTCAAGTGAATTACTGGTCCCGGCATCATTTTATATGAAAGCACATACAATAAATAGCCTGTGGAACTCATTGCCACACATATGTTAATGGCCACTGACTGTTGGACAGCTTTAAAAGGATAAATTTCATGGAGGAGAGGTCTATCTATGACTTGAAATGCAACATTACTTCTGGTTTGGAGGCAGCATGCCTCCAAATACCAACTCCAGGAAAACAAGACCAAGAAAGAAAGTAATGTCTTAGTTAGTAGCTTCTGAATTTTGCAAGGTGTTTTAGCTACCTGTTGGACAAAGATTGGTGTTAGCCTGATTCTGCAGAGCAATTCTAGCATACATTTGTAGCAATGGAGACAGGCTACAAGAAGAAACTTGACCTCAAGACCCCGTGATGTTTTCAAACATTTGCATTTTTAAAAACCAGAAGAAAGCAAACCATCAATGGGTAACTGGAGACAAAAGGGCAAATTTCAAAAAATAAAAATGTTCACATCCACGAAGCATGAAAGTATGTGAATACTTAGTGTAGTTGCTGCTAATGTGACAAAATAGAATGACAGAGGTGGGAATTCTCATGTCAAAAAAAACAAAAAACAGGTGAGTTTCATAGATGTGGATCAGCAGCTTTGCAAAATATGTTAGCAGAGGGTTAGTAACCATGACTGCTAATCATGATGGCTATAGATAATCTCCAGTATACAACGCCTCATAATTCTACGTAGTTGGCTCCTTATTCTATGAAGGGATATCAAATTAGATCGCGTCGTGGGCCAGATCGTGACATATCATGATATTTTCTGCCTTTGTGGAGCCGGGGTTGGTGTGGCCACCAGTTTGACAGGCCTGTATGAGATAGTAAGATTTCATCCTACCGTTTGAGGGATTTTGCTTGATGAATTCAAGAAAAGGCTGGAATAAAGAGGTTCCTGGTATGATTCAAGATAGTTTTTTTCCAACAGTTTTAGCCTATTACCAAAGCAGTGGCTGCAGCAGTGAATCAAATCAAGCAGGAATATATACCTAATAGTTAAGGCATCGGGCTAGAAACTAGGAGCTTGTGAATTCTAGTTGTGCCTTAGACATGAAAACCAGCTGGGTGACCTAGGACCAGTCCCTCTCTTTCCACCCATCATAAGGTTGTTCTGAGGAGTGGTGCGGTGGCCTAGAGGTGGAGCTCTCGCCTCACAATCAGGAGGCTGTGAGTTTGAGCCTAGGTAGAGGCAGATATTTCTCTCTCTGGGCACAATGGGAATATATCTGCTGAACAAAACTCCACATTGGTGACAGGAAGGGCATCTGGCCATTAAACACTCTGCTAGCTCCATTCAGTTGTCCAGACTCCACCCCTCAAGGGTTCATGGGGTCATTAAAAGAGGATGATAGGATTGTTCTGAGGAAAACAGGAGGAAGGAATATTAGGTATGTTCACCATCTGGAGTTATTTATAAAAATAACAAAAGTGAGCTATAAATAATTAAATAATAAAATGATATGTCAGCTGTCTAATATCTACTATCTATTATGATCTATTATCATACATACATACATTACATACATCATCTTCATCTTTCAAGTAAGTGTGTAGCTACAGATTTTTGCAAGAGGGAAAAAAACCCCAGCAAAACCCAACCCCAAATCTTTGACAAATATACCATTCATGTCTAATCTCTACAATTCTTACAAGTAAAGTGGGCAGGCTCACATTACTTATAACACATATAATGGCAAAGTAAGTTCTTAACCAATAAAAATGCATGTGCTAAAAAGTTCTGGTATTTTGCCTACACCCCCTTAACTAAACATACTGCACTTGGGAGTAAATTCTTTTCTTTTCCTGTAATGTGTTTAAACTTAAGAAATCATTTACACTCAAGGGATTATAGCATCTTAAACCCAAATACTTGACCAATT